TACCAAAGTAATTCTCAAACGGGTAACAAAATNTCAGTTAACAGAAGCAACAGCTAATACCGAAAATAGCTGAAACACAACTTCACTTCACGTGAAACAACGGTGCTCGCACGCACCGAGACGCTCTCGGCTTCAAATTTCACATTGCAGAGCTGGCCACGATCCCTCCTCGATCATTCGAGCACTTTCGCTGTGTGAATTCATTCCCAGGAAAGATTTGTTGTTTGGGCCAAAGACCTTCCCTCTTCGTGTCAGCAATGTTGATGGTGCAAAGCATATTTGAAAAACGTATGCTTTCTCGCGCAGTTGCAGTTACGCTATGATGGCAACTTCCAAACACCAAGTTTGCGACGCTCTGAACTGCCGCATCATGGGGGTACGGCAGCCTGTGGAACGAGCCGTGTTACAGGTACATGAGTAGACGCTCATGTACCTGTGTGTGTGTGTGTTCTTGGGGGGAAGAAGGGGCGAAGGGTGGCTGTGGACAAGGTGGGTGGATACGTTGGGAAGAGAGAGGGTGCTTGTGTGTGCGTGCGTGTGTCTGTGTGTGTGTAAGGTGGGGAGGACAGGATAACTCAAGGAGAAGGGGCCTCTTGTGATGAAAGCATGAATGACTTGCGCACCCTAATCGGGACGTGTGCTAGGGAGATGTTCGGCGTCGCACGGGTAAAAAGGTGAATTTTGTGAAGCGTGACTGGTGGAACGAGGACTGTGCCGCTGCATGGAATGATATGATGAGTTTCCGTAAGGAGATCAGGGACTCCGCCTCGGGCAAGCTGCCGGACATTCATAGGGCTACCTGGAAGGCCAAGCACCGTGTCTTCAAGGAGGCTACTAGGAAGGCCGCTATTCAGGAGACCGAAATGGAAAATATGCGGAGGAGGATTAAGGCCACCCTGTCCAACCCACGCGGCTTGTGGACATGGCTGCGTGGGGGAAAACCGCCTCCTTGCTGGATCTCAGATATTAATGCTTTTACCGAGCATTTTTCCAAGGTGCTTAATGGTGCGGGAAACGCGAGGCAAGGCTGCAACGAGGGTATCCAGTTTAAATGGCAGGATGAGGACCGGGTGATGCACCGACAGGAATTAGTTGCTTGGCTTAACAAGGATTTTACGGAGGGCGAAATTGTTAGCGGTCTCAAGGCTATGCGCAACATAGCCTGTCCGCGGGCCTGGAGGGAACCCCGGCCGAGTATTATAGGTACGCTATCAGGGAGAGTGAAGGGCAGCGGCCAGTGTTTGTGTTGGCGCCTTACTTAACGGTGCTATGCAACCGCATATACGGAGCTGATTATTCGCGAGCTGATTATTCACGACTAGCACCGTTTTCCCCTATACAAAAAGGGGGACGCGTCCTGCTGCGACAGTTATCGGGGCATTGCGGTTGGGGGCCCACTATGCAAAAGTTACGGCAATATCATCGGGAGGCGACTTATCAATTACTGTGAGGGCAACAGGCTACGCGCCGGTAGCCAGGCTGGGTGTGGGCATGGTTATGGCACCGAGCACCACTTGTGTACCCGCATCAATACTACTAATATAACATCCATGGACCCCCGGCTTTTACGGACACACCCGCATGCAAGTGTGGGTTCCGCACGCAAGTGTGGAACTTGTAACTTGTTAGGGTTGAAAATCCTTCCGATGGTGGAAGGGAAAAGTGCCCCTAGTCGATGGACGGTGGTGGCCTGGGATAAAGTTGACTTGTGAGCTGAACAGGAATGGAGTTCAGCCGCCGTCGATCTTGCAAATTCCCCGGTGATGGGTGTGGAACCTGAGCGATCCACTGAGAAGTTGGCACTTGGAAGGGAGTGAACGACCTGGGACCCCTGGGACTCAGGACATCATAACAAGCCATCAGTCAAGTCGTGTCGAACATTTAGCACAGAAATGCGCAAGCTTGACTCGGCTTGACCACACACACACGCACATACATACACTCTCTTGCACTTGGATGTGTCGGACCGTCTGTCTTGCAGCCACCCTGTGGACCACTCTCAGGCTACCGCAGCTCGGTCGCCACCATGAAGGCAGCTGCTGATTACATCTTGTCACTTGGTGTTGGGATGACAGCAGAGTGATGGAGCTGATCTTGAACTTGTTGGAGCAAGGGATGGATGGCAACAAGTGATAGGGAACGGAAATGTGGCGGGTTGGGCTAACGGGCGAGGGTGAACGGGATGGATATAGAGTGGTAGGCAGCTGGGCGGGGCACGATCTCGCTGCTCACAGCAGTGCTGGGTGACGAGGACGGTGCTGGTGCTGGTGACAGCGAGGGTGAGGGCGCCAGCATCCTTGTCATTGTGTAGGTGGTTGACGATGACCTTCGGTATGTCGCTTTTTCCTCAGAGCACCTAAGGCCTGCGTTTTACGGAAGATTTGAACCCGTAAGGTGTGTATAGGGCTTAGCCCTGTCAAAGGAAGCCCTCCATGATAGTAGTTCGGTGGCGCCCTTGTTCGGGCCGCAGTTCCTCCTGTGAGCAAACATGACTCAAAGCATCTTAGACACTCAAGAAGAGCTTCAAGATCCATAACGCTGTATCAATAGCTCGTGGCACTTCCGCCATGAGCAGAATACGTCAATCGCCCGCTTTGCACATAAGCAAAAATGGAGCAGCGGCCTTCATGATGACTTGATATGTTGTTTTCAAGGGCTTGCACGGAGGGATATTGCTTCCGGGGACGTAACCAGGTGCAGAGGAACGGGGGTGGACGTGATAATGCAGTGATATACAGCTATAATATAAAAGTTTAAAAGGCTAACTGTCGACAAAATGAGTTCGCCGATCTGCACCTTACCAACACACCACCTGGATTTGCAGCTGTTGCGCACCTTTACCGGACGCCGTACAATCAAGCTGGCCTCTGACAAAAGTCACCTTCCATAGCACTTCCAGCTCTTTTAGCAAATGTGCACAACGCCCGATATATAATCGCTGGCTTTTACACAACGTATTTTGGCCTGTTCCACCTCTGTTGCGTTCGTAAAAGCTGCTAGCTTCCTACATATCACCAGCAAATGAGTTAGAACATATGAACAGCTGCGTGGAATTCCGAGAAGCTGCTTTGGACCCTGCAAACGTTTGCAAGGTACTGTTCATTGCAAAACCTTCACGCTGTAGCCGCCGCACTTCAGTTCCATTGCTCTAATTTATTACGCGGCTGGCTCAATCATTTATTTATTTAGCCCCTGCTGACGTTGCTCCAGGCACAGCGTCGCCGCTTCACGGACATCGACATGCCTAACTCGTCTGCTGAGGGCAACGTGCGACTCAATTTTTTTGAGGTGAGTTGCTTGTCTCTCGTGTTCATGTATGGATATTTGAAGCATCAAGGTGGCTTTGTCGACGGGCTTTCGACGTTTGTGCAACGCTCTGCTGCAAGGATATGGGCGTATGCGGCGTTTGAGCGTAATCCCGACAATTATGCTTACGCTGTGTAAGGAGGCTACGAAGGCTGAAAGCTAGACAGTTTGGCAGAAAAGTACACGTCGTTAGGCGAGACATGACCACTTCGTCCGATGTCCTTGACCTTCCTCGCGACAGAGACGACTGCTCATTTCGACTTTCATAGTAAGGCAACTGTCTTGCTCCTTTTGCAGGTGTGATCGAGGGGACCTGGCGCCAGCGAGTGTGTAGAACTGGAACCCCAAGGGCCCCTCGCGTGCATCAGCCGCTGCCGCGCACTGCCTTCGTCATCATCCTCCACTAGCGGCCGAGCTGACGTCACAATCGCCAGGTGGGTGTGCTGGGCAGGTTCTTGGATTCTATGGGAGAAGACGTGTTGCACATGGATAGACGAGTTGGTGACGGAGGGGGATTTCGGTATGAAATTGTTGTACCTTGGCAAGGTACGGCGTGTAGGGAGTATGGCATGAAGGTCTTTCCCCGTATGTTCACTGCGTGGGTGCCACTTTGTGTCCGTTCGTGATTTAGTGATGTCGTACATACGTCCGGAGCAAAGTTTCTTGCTGTGGGTGTTTCGTGGCGCGGTGTTTTTCTCCTGTTGTGCCGGCAAGCAGCAACAGCAACAGCGACAGCAAAAGCACAAAGGCAGCAAACTGCAAAGATAAGGTCAGCAAACACAGATAGAAGCTGCAAAGCCGGCCGGTGGTTATTGTTGCGGTGTTCAGTGGCTTGTATTTGTGCGCGATTGTATGTATGTATGTTTGTATGTATGTAGGTGTTCAAATGTGGGTGAGAATGTGCTCTCTCGCGCGCGTGTGTGTGTAGTTGTGTGTAAGAGTATGTGTGTGTGGGGGGGGGGCGGGGGGATGCTACTGTTTTAATTGTGATGGAGAATTCGAAACTGCCCGCGATCCGCCTTTGTGCTTATTAGTATGTTTCTGCATTTTGTGCACAACTGCCCATGTCGTTTTGCCGTGCATATTCAGTGCTCGTTGCCTCCCCTGCTAGGTGATTAACAGCGTGTTTGTGTGTGTATTTCCCCGCCCACCTCCCGGCCGTTCCCGCCGCCGGTCTGAGCGAGCCTGGGCGAGGACTTCCAACAGGACAACACATATCCGTAGGGTTTAAATAGGTCGGCCGCCTCACCGTCGGCCGCTTTGCCGTCGGCCGCCTCACCGTCGGCCGTCTCGCCGTCGGCCGCCTCGCCGTCGGCCGCCTCGCCGTCAGCAGCCTCGCTGTCGGCCGCTTTGCCGTCGGCCGCCTCGCCGTCGGCCGCCTCGCCGTCGGCCGCCTCGCCGTCGGCCGCCTCGCCGTCGGCCGCCTCGCCGTCGGCCGCCTCGCCGTCGGCCGCCTCGCCGTCGGCCGCCTCGCCGTCGGCCACTTTGCCGTCGGCCGCCTCGCCGTCGGCCGCCTCGCCGTCGACCGCCTCGCCGTCGACCGCCTCGCCGTCGGCCGCCTGGCCGTCGGCCGCCTGGCCGTCGGCCGCCTCGCCGTCGGCCGCCTCGCCGTCGGCCGCCTCGCCGTCGGCCGCCTCGCCGTCGGCCGCCTCGCCGTCGGCCGCCTCGCCGTCGGCCGCCTGGCCGTCGGCCGCCTCGCCGTCGGCCGCCTCGCCGTCGGCCATCTCGCCGTCGGCCGCCTCGCCGTCGGCCGCCTCGCCGTCGGTCGCTTTGCCGTAAGCTTTCGGCGTTTCCGCGTCACGGTTTGTCGTACCTCCGGTGAGTCACGCGCTAGTTAAACGCATCCCTTGTCTGTGCTGTGCATTTCCTTGTTGACGTTGCCCTATGTACGTCATTGTACAATTTTGCAGTGCGTCACGTCTTGTTTGTTAGTTGGTTGTAAAGCACTGTCTGTTGTGGGTTTTTGTTGTTGTGCCGCATGCGACGTGCTTGTGCAGTCTTATTTTGTTTGCATCATAAAGCAGATCATGGCCGGGCAGCAGATCAGCAGCTGATAGGCAAAACAGCAGATCAGCTAACATCTAGGAAAGACAGCAAACGAGACCAGCTTACCGGCTTTTAGCAGCACGTGTGCCGTGGTGTGGTGTATTGTGCTGCATGACAATGTAACTATTTTGTAAGTGTCAATTTGTAAGATTATGTGCTGCATAATTTATATTGCATCCTGAATAAATTAATAATATTTTACTCATGATTGTTTCCTTAAAGCATTAAAGATAAATAGTACGTCAAGTAGATGTACTGTACAATTTTGTTGTTTATACGCAATATACATTTAAGTAAAGTTTTGTATAATGTATTATCGTTACGTGATGCTTCCGACGTCAGCGTGTCGTCCCCAGCGGGATCATTGTGTGCGTGTGTGCGTGTGTGCGTGTGTGCGTGTGTGCGTGTGTGTGTGTGTGTGCGTGCGTGTGTGTGTGTGTGTGTGTGTGTGTGTGTGTGTGCGTGTGTGCGTGTGTGTGTGCAC